AAAAATACAAATTGAATTGATAAAATCTACGTTCGTAAAGTATTAACAAAGTAGTAGTAGTAGTAGGAATAATTCTTTTTTTATGTTCATTATTCTTAAAGTGGTACCTCTTTGATGCTGTGTTCATTAGCTTCCTGCCGCTAAAAAGGTACAAATTGCGCTGTGCATACAATATTCGTTAATAATACTTCTAATGTTTAACGAGATTTCCCTTAGGATTTGATGTGAAACTTGAATTATTGCTTCTTTTGTGATTAGAAAAAAAAATCATATTGAATGTTTAGACCCTCAACACATAAAACATGACGAAACCCGCCGTGCTTTCGCTGTATTGATGTAAATAATTACCCACAGCGAACTAAATAAGAGTAGGGGTTCGGTATTGTCACTGGAGAATTAGAGGTTGGGAGAAAGATGGAGGTTAATCACCAGTATCCATCACAGAGGAAATGTGGAAAGTATCAGTTTGAGAGTAATGAAAGGTAAACGTGGTTATAAGGATTCATATTTAATAGCATTATCCAGTGTTTGTCTTAAATACTGCTCATTGTTTGTGGTTTATTGTAGAACCTGGTAACCGTCTTGAGCTGGAAATCCAATGTTTGTATTACTGTGAGAGTAATGGAAGGTAAATGTGGTTATAAGGATTCATATTTAATAGCATTATCCAGTGTTTGTCTTAAATACTGCTCATTGCTTGTGGTTTATTGTAGAACCTGGTAACCGTCTTGAGCTGGAAAGCCAATGTTTGTATTACGTTTACCTTCCATTACTCTCACAGTGGTTATAAGGATTCATATTTAATAGCATTATCCAGTGTTTGTCTTAAATACTGCTCATTGTTTGTGGTTTATTGTAGAACCTGGTAACCGTCTTGAGCTTTCCATCCAATGTTTGTATTACTGTGAGAGTAATGGAAGGTAAACGTGGTTATAAGGATTCATATTTAATAGCATTATCCAGTGTTTGTCTTAAACACTGCTCATTGCTTGTGGTTTATTGTAGAACCTGGTAACCGTCTTGAGCTTTCCATCCAATGTTTGTATTACTGTGAGAGTAATGGAAGGTAAACGTGGTTATAAGGATTCATATTTAATAGCATTATCCAGTGTTTGTCTTAAATACTGCTCATTGTTTGTGGTTTATTGTAGAACCTGGTAACCGTCTTGAGCTTTCCATCCAATGTTTGTATTACTGTGAGAGTAATGGAAGGTAAACGTGGTTATAATGATTTACATTTAATAGCATTATCCAATGTTTGTCTTAAACACTGCTCGTTGTTTGCGATTTATTGTAAAACCTGGTAACCGTCTTGAGCTTTCCATCCAATGCTTGTCTTAAATACTGCTCATTGTTCGTGGTGTACTGTACAACCTGGTAACCGTCTTGAGCTTTCCACATTTCGTGGTAACACAGAGTAACGGTGCTAGGACTTAAAACAGGTTTATTCAACTCAACTTTTATAGCTAACAACATTTTCTTAAAATGCTGTTTACGCTTTTATAGATATTTCTAAATTGAATGTTCCCCGGGGTCCGATTCGACGTGGTGGACACAGCAGATAGCTCATTGTAGCTTTCCTTTAAAACAAACAAACTAAATTTGATAATTTGTTTTAAGGTCACAAAGTATAATAATAGTAACGAACGGCTAAAAAATTCAGAGGACCGTGATTCGAATGGCAGTGCAGTGGAAAGCTTATGGAGTTAGGGAATAATTTCAGACTAAACACACTTACATTTTACAAACAAAACTTTGAACGTTTTAATATAAAAATAGTTGCATTAATGGGGCTGGGCGTGACACAGTAGTTAGCGCGCCCTGACTTTGAATCCGAGGAATCACACTTCTCGACCAGTTCTAGCGAAAATTTGCTTCGCATTTTGGTGTCTTTGAGAGTATCCAAAAAGTTGGCGGTGGGTGCTTTTGAGTAGCTGATTTTTCTGTAGTCTGTCAGTCGAAAATTATAGGCGATTATGTGGAGATAGTCCTAAATTCTCTAGCTTTGTGCGAAAACCTGAAACAAGAATGCGTTAGTTAGAGACGCAAAGGTTTCTTCTAGTCCATATTACCAGACATTTTGAGATCATGGCAGCAAAGTTATATGTACAACAATTTTCGTTTATTAAATACTGTTTTTTTTTTTTGCAGTTACTGTTTTACAGATGCGATAAAGTTTGAGATGTGTGAGTCATTTCAAATATTGATATATTTTGATATCATTGTACAATTATTTCTCTATTCAAAAGATACTGAAATATATAGTTAAATTACCTGTTATACTTTGCAGTGCCCTCTTCTGGCAAATACGCAATTTTAAATCAGCAATTACACTTAGCAGTAAACTAGTATTTAATATTTTTTGCAAGTTTACGGGTTATATTGTCTTAAAATATTTTTTTGAATCAAATCATTTAATTATGAATCTTATTTTAAGTACTTTTGTTACTCTTATCTCGATCTCTTAAAGAAATTTGAGTAAAGGTTGGAAATCGTTAAAAAAGTCTCGACTTTTCTTAAGTTTAATTCTCTTTTCAGAATTGAACCCTATTTTTTTTGGGGGGGGGGCACGTTTCCCGTATGATTTATCATCTATGAGCAAAACAAAGCAGAGAATTTGACGAATTTAGTCATTTAAATGTATTTATTGAAAACTCCAATTTTATTGAATTACAAGGAAATTACCCAAGAGGCAAGTTGCTCACAAGATATTACACGAGATCATTACGTTATTAATGCGTCTGAAGAGGAAACCAACTGAATAAGAACACAGTCAGCAGTTTGAGTAATCTTGCCCCGAGTGCACAATTGAAAACTGCTGACTGTATTTCACCGCGGTATTTGTTACTTTGATGAATATATATATATATATATATATAAACGAATTAATAGTTTTATAGCCTTTTCTTGTGTTATCGATTAAAAAAAAACAACAACCAATAAACACACCATTTGATGTACGAGTTTGTAACTTAGCCTGTAAAAGATAGTATTTAATTACTGTAAGG